TTGTGTACCCCCAGCTGTTGGCATAGCTCCTGGACCAGCCACTCCTCAAAGTTTCCAATCCTGATCACTATGCAGCTCTCTGGGATGCTGAACCTGGTGAACATTCCTTCCATGAGCCAGTCTATGATGAAGGACAACTCTTTGTTGGGGGCCATGTATGCCTCTGGCCAGTTGGTAAAATAATCCATTGCCACCAGCATATGGTGATTCGACCTCTCTGTTGTGGCTAACGGCCTCAGGATGTCTGCTGCTACTCCTTCCATGGGGGACATTAGCTGCTGCAAAGGTGCTAGTGGATTTTTCTTTGCCATGCACATGCCACATCTTGTTGGCCTGGCTCCCCACCCAGAAGATCCAGGCTGCCAGCCTCCATACTTTGGTGATGCCGAAGTGGCCTGCACCTGTCGCTCCATGGACAAGGCACAGAACCTGCTGGCAATGGGATGCAGGGAGTTTTCACAGCTCTCCAGCTCCACTGTGGGTGCTTCACTGCCTATAGAGGGCCCCTTTTGCTGCTCCAGCATGTCCCACTTAGTCACTTAGTAGCCTCACTGTGAGGAGATGACATGGCTTGGTCTGGCCACCCCTGGCACTCCAGCCACTCCATCACCAGTGCATTGACAATGTCTGCCCTCTACTCTACCTGGTTCTCCTCCATGTTCAAGCCCTCTGGCAGTGTTGTGTCAATGGGTGCCCCTCTACTTCTCGGTCCCGCTCTCTCTGTTTCGCTGGAAACAAATTTCCTGCACGCTTCCATGTGGCATGGGTGCTAGGACAGCCCATCAGCACTGGCATGTCTCTCTCCTGCCTGGTGCATTGTGTCAAACTGGAAGGACTGCAGAACCTCCAGCCACTGGACCAGTTGTCCCTCTGGCTCCTTGCAGCTCAGTAGCCACCTCAGTGAAGAATGGTTCATCCTCAGAGTAAATCTCTGCTCATATAGGTAGTGTTTGACCGCCTGGCAAGAACAGGGGTGTCACTGAGATGCTCCTTAAACCTGTCAAAGACTTGCTGGCAGGCAGCAGACCACACAAAGCACCAGCCCCTCTCAGTCAAAGCATGCAAAGGTTGTGCAATGTCAGCAAAGCCTTTAATGAAATGCTAATAGCATGACAGCAACCCCAATAAACTCTGGATCTGGCATTCTGTGTTCTCTTGATCACCTGAGTCTTCGCTGGGTCAGGCCCTGTGCCTCAAGGAGGCCACCTCCCTCTGCATCAGCTCACACTTCTTGGGATTAAGGGAGAGTTTGGCCTGCCTGTTTCGAAGTCCACAGCATGGACCAAGAAGTCATCCAGGTAGATGATGATGCAGAAGGCAGGGGGGCATCCTATGGAGGACCCTCTCCATCAGCCTTTTGAAGGAGGCCAGGTTATAAGAAAGGCAGAACAGCAGAACAGTAAATTCCCATAACTCTCTGCCCAGTGTGAAGGCTGCCTTTGGAACTGCATCTGAGCCAGAGGGATCTGCCAGTAACCACTGCGCAGGTTAAGTGAACTGAAACAGGAGGAGTGGAACAGCCAATCCAATGCCTCATCTATGTGGTGTACTAGGTTTTTGGATTTTGGAGTCTTTCCTGGTGACAGCATACAGTCACTGATAATCAACAGAGAACTGTACTGTCCCATCATTTTTTGTGACAACACTACTGGCGAGGCCCAAGGACTGTTGGACAGGAGAATCACCCCACCTTTAACATCTCCTGCACCTTATTCTCCACCTCCCACTGACAGTGACAAGCGAAGTTGATGGGCCAGCTGGCATATGGGGGAAGTGTCCCTGGTGATTATCTTATACTGAACCAACTCACACTAAGTCAGTGCGAGTGCAATCTCTGTCCTGGGCTGTAAAAAGGTGCTTGAACTCACATATGAGGCTGTGCAGTCTCTCTTGCTTGCCTAAGCTAAGCCCTACTACTTCAATGTAACTTGAGAGAAATTGCCTCACCAAGCTCTGGGCTAACTTGACCCCTTGCCATCCTCACCAGCAGGCTGCCCCCCTATGGGGGTCGCATTGGCCCCTGCTAATGCAACAACAGGAACTCTCTCCACCAGCATCCTGGAGTCCGCCAGCAGTATTGTAGCATTCAGGGCCACTAGCACATAAAACCTCAGAAAGCAGTCCATCTGGGTAGTCTGCCCCTTTATGGTTTCCATTTTCACTTTTGTGGACTGCCAGGACTGTTCGCAAGGCAAAACCCCTCACCAAATTATGCTAATTGTGTCAGCTAGGGCCCACAACTCCTTATCATTCAGCTGACATGGCACTATGAGCTGCCAGATGTGCCCCAGCTGCTCAACTTGTCTGGCCATTGATGGAAAAGATTGAATAAAACATTCCCTGATTAACAATCAATAAACTAAATATTGGCTGATTAAAGAGCTTGGAGACCTCCTAAAAAGGTCATATAGGGAAGCAGACTATGGACTGTATGCATTGGACTCTCTAACGGGGGGAGAACTTCTGAGCTCACAGAAGGGAGCTGTACCAGATGACAGTTTAAGTTATAGCTGAGGTAAACTCTTGTACGTATATGGAGGGTTGTGTGAGATGGCCCTATGGAGAGGGTTTTGAGATGATATTTGCATTGTGGTTGACCAGGAACCATCTTGCCATTTGATGCTCAATAAAGCGAAGGACTTTTTCTTCCTTCCACAAGAACTCAGCGGCTGAAGTCTTTTTCATTCCTTTTTATCCTTTCTCATTTTTGTTGATATTCTTTGATTCTTTTAATTCTTTTTGAAGACATTAGATTACAGGCAGTTATTAGGGCAAATAGTATAGATATATTAGAATATTAGAGTTACTTATAAATAGCTCTTGGCTGCGACACCATGGAGGAAATTGTCTCCCCAGACTTTTAATGGCCTCACTGCTCATAGGTATGCATTCAACACTAATGGATTGGTGCCAGAAATACCCCAAAAGTGAGCCCCTCCATATTTTATATTTCAGCAGTGATTGGACCAAGCTTTTCACCACGCTGACCTTCTCTTCAAATGAGCATATCTTGAATGTTTACGGGACACGCATGATCACCAAACCGCCTCTCCAGTTTAGCTATGAGGCCACATCAAGTAACTGAAACGTCAGCAAGGACATCTAGCAAGACCTGTAGGGCTGGGCCCTGTAGCACTGAGACTAACTGCGCTGTCTTTACTTGATCCCCCCACCTCAGTGCTGCTAAAACCAGCTCAAACTACCACAGGTAAGCTGCCCAATTACCCTTACCATCATATTATCTTACTTTAGGCAGATGCATATTGGGGTGGCTTCAACTGCCGTGTTCGCTGAGTCACACTGGGGGGCGGTAGAGGCACTGGGTGAGCAAGTTCTAATTGTGGGCTTCAGTTCTAATTGTCTGCCTATTTTTTTTATTAACAGCTGCAGGTCAGCAAATTCATCAGCTAACCTGCATTTGGTGGAGGTTTCCACACCCCTCCATACCACAAATCTTTGAGTGAGCGAACTCTTCCCTGTGGACTGGTGAAATAACCAAAAACTGCTGCTCCGTGCTTAGCTTACAACTAAGCACAGAGCCTATACAGCCTAGCTCTAATACAGATATGGTACTATCTGTGTTCAGTGCAGTTTCTGAGATACTGAGGATCAAAGATTTCACTTTCAAATTAGCAAAACTCTTAAGTGGTCCAATCAGCTTTTATAGCCTAACAAAGTCATTGTCCTGAGATACTTTGTCCCACTGAATGTTAAAATCCTAGTATTTATGGAATAATGTTTTCTGTAGTAGACCAAACGCAGAGAGAACCTTCTAAATTCTAAATTATATGTTGCATCCCTGTAGTTACTGAATAATAAGCCTTATTATGAAATAAGCCTTTATTTCTATTCACTCTAATTTTATGTCTCATATAGTTATATTATGTAAACTATATGGTAATTATTATTAGCATGCAACATGTGCCCCTGCCAAGCTAACCACTCCTGACTTCTAACTTATTTTCCCAACCCTGTTACTCATTTTCAGCCTTTAATTATTTTAAAAGAAAATGAAATAAAAATGGTTTGGAACAAATACTTTAATGAAAACATTTTGATTACAGCAATTTTTCAACTTTCCATTAATTGGGAATATGATCTCTGTGTTTATGCTGGCTTCAGTTGGCTATACAAGAAAACCTGTTGTTCCAAGACACGGTCACAAAGTCTCTGTGTGTCCACAAAACATTTTTGTTCCTCTAGTATGCTCTTGCAAATAAAGGTGTCAGGGTTTTTTGAGTGATGAAGAACCACTTATTAATGGATGGTTCTATAAAGAATGTAAATGATGTATGAGTGTGAAGAAATGCTAAAGAACCCCCACTTCATATAAAGGTTCATAAAAGATCCATTAAATTGGTACAGATCCTTTATATTATGTGGTGCTTCTTTAACTGACAATCCTCATTTTAAAACTTGGGTCTTTAGGTTCTTCTATAGTGTTATGACCCTGCCTTCTGTCTAGGCTGTTGTGTGATCTATAACACATAGTATTTAAATAGTGAACCAGTGAAGTTAGTAAAAGGAGGAGAAACTGATACACAGGAGCATTTTGATTAAAACTCAAACAATAATATATCTTGCTTTTTACAAGCATGCATTTATATATTCACACATAAACGGTGTAATGTTGTCTAGTACTGCTCTGCGAGAATCAAACTGGACAGCACCAAAGAAAATATAAGAAAACAACCAAGCTTTCCTATTCTGAATTAAATTTACTTAGCTATGCAAACCAACATTAAAGAAAAGTTAACTACACTAAACATACCTGGCCAATGATCAAAATTACATGGGGTGAGTGGGTGGGTGGGTGAGTGGGTGCGTGGGTGGGTGGGAGAGTTGGGTGGGTGGGTGGATGGATGGATGAGTTGGGTGGGTGAATGAGTGGTTAGGTGAGTGGGTGGGTAGATGAGTTGGGTGGGTGGGTGGATGGATGGATGAATGGATGGATGGATGGATGGATAGACAGATAGATAGATAGATAGATAGATAGATAGATAGACCAACTGATAACATCCATTAAGTCAGCAGAGCCTCTGGTCCACCTGTTTGCACTCTATTATGCTGTTTCTGACCAATGACTATGGGTTCAAGTCACTGGTGTTAAAATCCAAAAGCCATTTTGATTTTGTCAAGTTGAGTCTGAAGTCATCGATTTCTTGACTTGATAAATAAGAATGCAGCTACACACACACACACACACACACACACACACACACACACACACACACACACACACACACAGAGAGAAAGAGAGACAGAGAAAGATAGAAAGAGAAACATATTTTACTTAAGTAACCAGTTAACAGTAACCACAGACATAAATATCTTCCAGCAGCTCAATACTCACCAACAGCACCAAGAAGAATCAAAATGCCCACTGCAACAAGTGCATATAAATACCCTGTGCCATGCTGTGTCATCTCTATAAGTTTGGTAAAATTGCCAACAGTGATCTGAAAAAGATTAAAGAAATCAGATGTTTGGTTTGTAGCTGAGCGCTAGCTGAGATTCCAGTTTGCAAGAGTTTCTGTAAAACTACATTCTAATATGCAGAAGGAAACCTTCAGGGTCTTCTAGACCTTCAGAGAAAGCCTAATGATTTCTGGACACTAAAACATACATTTCTGTGATTCTTAGTTGGTTTTTATTCAGTAAATTATGCTTGTAGTATTACCGTAGTACTCTTATAGAAAACAGAAAGTATTCATGAGAATCACTGTTAGCTTAGCGCTAACAAACTGCTAGAATCCAGTTGGGACGCTATCAGTGTAAACATTATCACTGAGGGGTTTTACCTCATGTTTTGACCAGGTTTTGACATTTATTGCCCAAATTGAAGGCTCAGCTCTATCAGTCACAGTTAACCACTAATTTGTAATGTTATATAATGAAAATCTATTCCAATATAGATTTCCGATTAAACATTCACACTCATGTTGTGGCTTTTTAGGGTCCATAATATAATGGGGACATTACAGTCTGCAGTAGGATCATTCTAAAAAAACTGATTCACAATCAAGAGTTGAAAACCCATTTTGAACTTTTGAGTTTGACTTTAAACTAAAATCATTTTCCTATTTTTGAAATAAATGACTGATCATTCCATTTTCTCACTACTAAAACAATCATAACGGTACCAAAATGTTACCAAATGTTACAGTGACAATTTTAGCACATTTCTAGCATAACTCAAAAACACTAGCCAGATTACAGGTAGAAAATAGGGGTGATTACCAGCAGGATTACATTCAAACCACATGCATGCAAACACGTCACTTGAGTTTTTCATTTTGTGAAGGGGTTGGGCTGCTGCCAGCACAGAATTCTGAAGAATTACAAGCAGCAGTTCACGTCCTTTTATTTAGCCAATTTATATACAACCTATTTTACTTCTTTTGAAAAAACTAAGATATTTTCCCGAAGATATCAGAATCAGGTCTTTACCCTTGATTTACATAACGTCTGACTCTACAGCAGCGAAATGACCTGTGGGGAAAATTTTATTTTCATCTGTTGCTAAATAAAATTCTATAGTTTAACTGGACACAAATTAAACTTTTGTTAATGTGCTGAAGTGAACAAACATTTAAAAGGAATAACACTAAGAGGAATAATGTGAAACTAAAGAATAAAGAACCTCATAAGCAGGTTCATTTTTATGTATATGATTTCCTCCCTTAATAGTTTTCGAATGAAGGGAGCAAACATGTTAATGTGTGTAAATGACATTCTTTCTTCACAGCTTTGAACAGTTGTGTACACACAAAATCATGATATTTTTCATTAAAACACAAAAAGGATTAATTAATTGAATAACGTGCATTTCAGTAGTGACAATTCTTAAATGCTGATTTATCTTAAAACAATGAAATCTAACTGCTCACCATGTGGTCATGAGGGACAGGGATGCAGTATCACTCCCTGCTCTAAAATACAGGGGTGTGGCTAAAATAAGGCCCTGCCTGTGGACTAGAACTTATTTTTTTCAGTAGTGACATGAAAATGTGGGACAGGGTTTTTTTAATTTAAAATTTAAACTTTCATATGATAAATCATCCCATATAATAAACTATGATAAATCTAAATCTTGCAACTTTGAAAGAAATATAAAAGATATTTAAGGCAACAATTAAAACATGCAAAATAAAGTATTATTTTCACAATATTTCACAATATTTAAATGACTTTGTACATATTTAGCTTATTACTATCTCAATTAATGCCTTGAGCTTAAATAGATCATAATGTAACCCTAGTAAATATTGAAGATCTGAATAGTTAATTTTTAACAGTTTCTTACTGTGGGATTGCTGTTTGAACTAATTTGGTCCAGTAAAGCAGTAACTGGTCATACCTTGATTGAGTCCACTCTGATTTCACGTCCCTTTTTTCCCACAATTCTACAGGTGAGAGCAGTGGACTTAATTGTATCAATCACACACTCAAACTGCTCCTCTTCCTGCAGCCCCCACACTATCATCTCTTCTTTACTGATACTGAGCATGTCTTCTGTTTTCTAGTGAGAGAACAGTAAAGTGTGGGAGAAAGAGAGTGAGATACAGCAAAGCAGAGCCAAGATACAGTTACATTTTATTACAACCTCTTGCAAATAAAGGGCTATACTGATTACAACCTTAATGATGCAGCACTCAAAACTAATGTTGTAGCTCATACTCAGCCTAAAGCACTGTACTTTCATAAACACAGTAAACAGTTTTTACTGTAGAACACCTTATTATCATCAGTCATTTATTAAACCTTTGTTGAGCTGAATGAAGCATAAAACAGCAGAGAAAACATATACGAATGTAATTTGGCTCTCATGTTCCAGCAGTTAATCAAAGGCTCATTGCTGAGGCACTTAAAAGCTTTATTTTTTTTATTTTTGATAGATTGATAGTGATTTTGGACAAGATTAAAGTTTACAGTTACAGCAACTTACAACAGAAATGTTGACCCTACCTGTATGGTGACCAGCACATCATTGTCCACTTTAGAGGTGGAGAAGCTGGTGAATTCTGGATCTGGGAGGTAAGACAGCTTATCTGCACAGTCCACTGTTGAGTTTCCCACTATGAGAGAGACACTGAACGGCCCAGAGTCCATGTATTCTCTCTGATTATGAGTGTAGAACCAAAAGGTCTGAGAGAATCAGAAAGATAGATCAGATTTAGATTTTAATGCTAAGAGTGATGAATTGGACATTATACAACAGTTGGTTTGGCCACGCATGCTGATTGGTTGAGAAGTGTTCTAACCATGCTGTTATTTCGCCGTAACAGCATGTTTTTTTCACAAGCACTGTATCACTCCGCTGAGACGCCGTTGCTAAGCAATGACTTTGACAGCTGTAGGAGACGCTCAAGCCATTTGAACGTTTTTACTTCTTACTTTGCCACAAACAGAAAATGGACACTTTTAAGATCACATTTGACCAACAGCTCATTTGGTCAGACTCTGAAGATGAGACTACACTAAATTCACAAACTGTCATCACCACTGAGCAGCTTTTCAGTCGGCAGCTGTGACAGAAGAACAGATAAACAACCTGGAATCAGCCAGAAATGAACCGAATACCGGCTGGAGCAAAACAACATTAAAACTGATCTAGAAAAAATTGACAAAACTGAGCTAAACTTGCGGCAGCTTTATGGCTTAGTCCGTACTTCAAAAGACGAGGCTTACAGCATACTGTGCAGTGAGTGAGCGGAGTTCGTTACTCTGACATAGCAACAAGCTGCTTGTTATGGATCTATAATTCGGTGGAAGGAATTGCTAACATTAAAATATATGAAATGCCACTTTCTTACTTTATTTATTTAACTGTTGTATAAAAGCAATAGAACACGAGAGGTTGTGTGTTATTGCGAATAACATCACGGCTGTGATGATCTTCAACCAAATCACAACCGTGATGTTTTTTCACGATAACACACTCCCTCTCGTGTTCTATTGCTTAATTTGAGCAAACTCTCTTGCAACATCTTGCCATTTCCATGTAAGCGTTCCTGAGCCTTTCTGCTTTCCATCATGTTTTTCTTGTGTACATAAACCCACAATGTTCAATGCTCCTTTGTTACATCTACATCGTAAGCAAGCATTTTGCATTTGAGTTACTGACTGTGTGTGTTACACTGTAAACCAGAGTGGCTGCACTCAACTCATTCTGAGAGATGATCACACTTATATACCTTGTTTGAGTTGAGGGTGATCGATTTGAGAGATGAATGAACAGTAACTGCATCCACAAATCCCCAGATTGTTTCCCCAACACTTGGATCTTCCTCCAACCACTGAAAGAAAAACATTAGATATTTATTCAGCCAATCAGAGAAAGGATTCAGAACAGCAGAGGTGGGAGTTGAAGGAGACTAAGCCAATGAATTCTGATAACTAGAGTTGATACAGAAGGCAGTGAGTACTAAATTACCAAAGCTTTAGCTGGACTTTAGCAAACTGAGAAACACTGGCCCCCATTTCCACTTATAAAACAGAAGTAATTTGTCAGCCTAACATCTACAGCAGAAGTGTAAACACAGTCAAAATTACTTTAATCTGGGAAAAGAGAAGTGAAGACAGCAAAACACCTATAGCAGTGGTGCTGGAACAAAACTCAGAAAACTCACTTTCTTCAACTTCAGAACGTGGGCCAATGGGTGTTGCAAGAGAAAGCGTATGGTGCCTTTTTTTGTTGTTTCTCTGATCTAAATGAATGAATAACTTTCCCTCAGACCAGACCAATGTACTACAGCTCAGCTAACTCAGAGTACTGCCCAATAAATTTACTTTCATTTAGTCTCATCATCCAGACTGCAGGCCTCCAGTGTCTCAAAGTTTGCCAAACTGTGTATTTTCAAAACCTCAGTCCTTTTCATTTTCTGATTTTCACCCTCCTGTTATCTTCAAATTTATCAACACCTTTTATCCTTGGGGTCAATTTGACCCCAGCAATATATGTTTTTCCCTCCCCCATCTGGTGTGAACTATCAGTGATTCTTGCACTACTACAGATGTGCAGGGTTGGGATAGCTACAGAAAAATTAGTAGTTAGCTACTTTGTAGTAGTTGTAGCTAGCTACAGTATAGCTACTTTTTCCAGAAAATGTAGTGGCTACTTTTTAGCCACTTTTTGAAAAGTAGTGCATTACTTTTTAGCTACTTTCAAAGCACGATTGTCAGAATGTCCACCCACACACCAAACAAGCCCAACTGACAACGTGAACAAGACACTGCAGTTAATCATTTGCCAGAAAGAAACATACAATTGAAAAGCTGCAAATTCACAAAAGATCACCAAAAAGTGAGTTTAAATGTAACCAACAACTAACTTACACAACCAAAGGCGTGATATCCAACAAGAATTTAGACTAAGTAAAGGCAAAGTCAATCATTCCAGGCTTTTCCTAACAAAAATCAACAAAAATAACTGAATACAAACCAAACAATTTTATGCAAAGCATTGTCAACTGCTGAAATAAAACTGCTCCAATTTAACCATTTCAGCAAGATGTACAGACATGACATTCAGTCCTTTGTTAAACTTCAGTAACACTTTACTCAACACTTACTTTAACACTTCACATGGATGCATGCTTGAATTCATGAAATGTATGCATATCAGTGGTGTACGAAGCATCAACATCTAACCAGTGTTTAATTGTGGAATAGTTTGTTAAAAACCATCAACCAATTAGTCGTCTTTTTCTGAAAAACAGTATTTAAAATAAGTGATTTGGGTAGAAACAGGTTCTACACAAAGGTTTTTAAGTGTCGTTTTCTGCTCTACCTGGTCCAGGTGTTTTTAGGCTGCAGTCCAGTACAGGTGGGCTGGGAGCCATAAGTAATTTTGGTGTTGCTATGACAACGGCCGTCTGCTGTCACCACACACACCCGCACAGTTCCTTTATTTCCGTTTGGAATACTGAACTTCAGAGTGTCAGTGGAGCGCTCCAACACTGGAGTCCTGATGGAAAACAGCAGATTCACAGAGACACAAATCAAACATATCATGCACACAAACACACACACACACACACACACACACACACACACACACAAATACACTTCTGCTAACACTCACTCCTTTGAAGTGCACTCCATGAATCCCTGAAAGCGGATTTTCTCTACCAGTTCCAGGTTTCTTCCTTTCAGTACTGCATGATTTTTGCCATGAAAGGAGACCTGATTAGGCTCCAGGGAGAAAATCTCTGGCTGGAAAAATTTATGAAAAAGAGAAATTTTAAACTTTTCATAAAACCAAACCTTCAAATGAAAACACATGTATTATTATGTGTACAAACAACCAGTTAAAAAGTGCTGTGTTATCAATGCACAGTAATGCAAGATTACGATTCACTCACTAGTTCCGTATACACAGTAAATATGAATTTGAACACTGGCTAGATCCCTGGAGATGGAAAAGTCAGGACACTGATGACTCAAAGGTGTGTAAACACAGTTTACAATGACAAAGTACCAACAAGATTCACTGGGAAGCTCATCCACTTGCTGTGCTTAGGCATGCTATGATTTCTAGGATGGATATTCCATTAGTGTCACTTGTACCAAGCTAACCGTGTTTCTCCTAAGCAATTCATAGCAACTGTAGCTTAAATGCAGTCAGCTGCCGAGTTTAATGTCACTGAATATTTGCAAATGGACCTGGTTAGCCACACTGAAACAGTTGATGCTCACTGGTTATTATGGTGCATTGTGGAAATGTTCAGGGAATGAAAATTCCAGTGCACTGGAACAATTTTGACAACGAGACACACTAGAAAATGGCTGATTTCCTGTGCAGTACCCTGACTACTGAACTAGGGAGCTCTTTGAGACATACCCTATGTTTCTTGCTGAAACCAAGAATGTTCTTATTCTTAGTGCCATTTTCAAACCCTAAACTTCCCCCAGACACAGATCTTATGTCCACTGACACTGTGAGTAACAGTTCTGTGGGTCACTTACTGCATTACTCCCAGAATATAATCCTTCACACACGTCCTGCAGAGGAGGGAAATAAACCACAGAAAACATTTAATTTTAGTATTAAAATAGATTCATTGCCTTGTTTAAATCACTGAATTCAGAAACACTAAACTTTTTAAAAAACAGAGTATCTTGTTGAAGTTTTAGTGATTTAGTAATTGTTAGCTCACCATCACTGCCCCCTAAACATAAATAAAAAAATAAATAAATAAAAATAATTCCTCTTCAGTTGGAACTTCTCAAATAAATTCACAAATAAAATACAGTTTAAAAACATGATTGTACTGAAATAAAATTTATAGTCAGTGTACAATATGACCATGAATTAAATCTGTGTGCGTCTTTCTGCACTGGAGTACACATATGTGGGTAATATGATCTCCAGGGTCGTTATAGTAAAAAATATTAAATAAATAAATAAATACAAATAAAATGTCAGAATGTGAGTACCTGTGATGCAGATTCAAGAGCCCAGCTGCACATATTAGTACTGCTGGACCAATAACACCCAGCTGAGACACACGCTACACACCTGTATACAAACACACACACACACACACACGCACACACACACACACACACCCTTTGCTGAACCAAACCAAACAACTAAACCTGCCAACATAGCAATTCAGAGTTTGATTATAAATGTGCAGTTATTCTGATCCATGGTTTTAACTACATACATTTAGTTTAATGATTGAACAGCACAACCATTTCTTAGGCAGTTAAAAAGGCAGTTGAGCCGATTATCACGTAGCGATTTTAGTGTTTTAATGTGTATAATGCATAAGTGTTTAGATTTCAATGTGTATAATGTTTAAATGTTTAGATTTTGAAAGTGTATAATGTGTAAGTGTTTAGATTTTAATGTGTATAATGTGTAAGTGTTTAGATTTTAATGTGTATAATGTGTAAATGTTTAGATTTCAAAGTGTATAATGTGTAAGTGTTTATATTGTAATGTGTATAATGTGTAAATGTTTAGATTTGAATGTGTATAATGTGTAAATGTTTAGATTTGAATGTGTATAATGTGTAAATGTTTAGATTTTAATGTGTATAATGTGTAAGTGTTTAGATTTCAAAGTGTATAATGTGTAAGTGTTTAGATTTTAATGTGTATAATGTGTAAGTGTTTAGATTTGAATGTGTATAATGTGTATAATGTTTAGATTTGAATGTGTATAATGTGTAAATGTTTAGATTTGAATGTGTATAATGTGTAAATGTTTAGATTTTAATGTGTATAATGTGTAAATGTTTAGATTTTAATGTGTATAATGTGTAAGTGTTTAGATTTTAATGTGTATAATGTGTAAATGTTAATGTGTATAATGTGAAACAGTGTTCAAGTAAATAGTCTGTGATCACGAGTGTTTCTTATCATGATTTTCATTTGTTAATGTAAGTTCCACAGGACAAGCTGCTATCACAGGGTACAGATCCATCAAATGAACAGTCAGCAGTCACATACCATATAAACAGGATTACTCAGAACATTGACAGATAAAAAACTAACATTTCCTGCTGCTTGTGATCAAGCAGGATGTTTTATAGTTACAGTTACAGGACTGGACAGTGACTTTGTGATATTATTTTTGTGGTATTTTACCCAAAACGTATTTAAATTAAATTAAATTTGTAACCTGTAGAGAATGCAATTTTCTCTTAAAAAAAACCTGTAATTTGACCAGGGATGTTCAAACTTTTTCATACGACTGTATATCACATATACTGGCAAACTGAAAACATTACCTGAAGTGGCTCAACATGCCAGACAAAATGTATCATGATGACCGGCTGCTGTTTGGAGAGCTTTTATCTAAAATGTCTTACTTATCATATGGTGATGTCTCTGTGATGTTTGGGCAGCTCCTCACTTTCAGGCTCTCTGTGATTTTCTGATCTCCAATTGTGACAGTCGCTTTGACTGGACATACAAAAGAAAACAGTTTCTGTGTGAACATGATTAACTACTGAGAGTTATCATAATCAGTTAGTCAGAGAGAGGTTAAGACACTTGATTATCATTTGTTTTTTGTGTATTGCATATTCATAAATGCTGTTTACATTTTTATATAGTATTATATACTGTTAGGTTACAACAGCTACTTCTTGTACTAATGATAATTTAAAATAGGCTTTTGAAATTTAAATGGATGATAAAGTTCAGAACTATAATGATCTAAACTGACCATTAGCCGGCAGCCACTGACTGGAGAATTTGCAGGAGCAGTTGGGGAAAACTGCAGAACTGCTGTTACATAGATTCTCATCTTCCTTCATGAAGGTACATGTTAAAAGAGGATTTTCTGTTCCCTCCACACTCAAGTGAAGATTAAGAGTGACCTGAATGAGAATAAAATAGAAATATTGTTTTTAAATATTTGTAAAATGTAGATACAGTAATTGTCACAGTAAATGTCAGAGACACATTTACCTCAGTGGAGACTTCAGTCACTTGAAAAGAAATCAGCTCTTTCTGAAAAGAATCTTCAGAAATGAAGATCCAAGTAGAGTTTAAACACTCGTCTTTGGTCGAGCATCTAGAGTGACCACAATGAGAAATCAAGTCACATGATCACACATGGTGGATACTTGATGTTTACAGCCTGCTTTGCTGTCCTGGGAGCCACTGTAGGGTTATGAGGACTGTGGTGTTACTCAGTATGCAGGAATGATTTCAGAACTCTTTCTATGTGCTCTCCACATTATCAAATACTGTAGAGCAGTACAGCACAGCTATCCTCATATAGGGAGGGGCTACATACTAGTAAATTCAGGCAGTAACTCTGATTTTCTTCTCTAAGGACTATATTGCAGCTACAAAAGCTTCGACTCTGGGAAGCTATCTAAAAGATTTTGGAGTGTCTGTGGGAATTTTTGCCCACTCATCTAGAAGAGCATTTACGAGGTCAGACACTTCTAGTTCATGCCAAAGGTCTTTCAGTGGGGTTGAGGTCAAGGCTTTGTGTGGGCCAGTGCACTGGGGTTCAGTCATGTTGGAACAGAATAGAAAAGTTCCCACAAAGTTGGAAGCATGGAATGTCTTGGTATGCTGAAGCATACAAGATTTCCGGTTATTGGAACCAAGTGTCCTAGGCCAACCCCTGAAGAACAACCCCATAGCATTATCCCTCTTCTACCAAACTTTTGGCACAGTGTGGTCAGGCAGGTAATGTTCACCTGGCATTCACCAAACCCAAACTCGTCCATCAGACTGCCAGATAGAGAAGTGTTCGTCACTCCACGGAATATGTTTCCACTGCTCCAGAGTCCAGTGGCAGCATGCTTTACACCACTGCCCCCCGGTTTGGCATTGTGCACTTTGATCACAGGTTTGTGCGTAGCTACTCAGCCGTGAAACCCATTCTGAGAAGCTGCTAATGCAGTTTTTTTTGCTGATGTTACTTCCAGAGGAAATTAGGAACTAGGAGTGAATCAACAGAGGATTGGCACTCTGAACTCGGCAGCCCCGCTCTGTGAGTTTGCGTGGTCTTCCTCTAAGCTGTTGTTACATATATATACTTTCTAAACAATCATATCAGATTTGTTTAAATTAAACTGCATGTTAACAGTTTGTGAAAAGAGCTGAAAAAGAAGGAGAGGAGAATGACCTAAAACACTTCAAAGCATGCGCTACTTCACATCATTGAAAATCTGTGAGTAGATTTTAACCATGGTGTCAATGCAAGACAGACCAAGAACATATGTGAACTAGAAACATGAACCAGAAGCACAGTTGAACTGGAAGCAAGAGTGGGTGAAACTTCCCAAAAAACAGGAATAGAAAAACTCTCAAAAGGCATTTGCAAGCTGTGATATCTGCCACAGGGGATGTTACCTAGAACTGACTTAGGAAGGTCACAATTAAGCTACTAATGATGTTGTTAAGGCTGAGTTAAACCCAAGTTTAACTTGCTAACTCAAGAATACAGCATCATGGCAGTCTATACTCACTGTTATATGGTCTAATACAGGTTATACACAAAAGAGACAAAATGACACTTAAATGACTTTCACAGAGTTCAAAACATGCTACAGTGAGTCATCTAACCTCTACATACTCCCAAAACATACTGCAACTCACAAATGACCCTATGTGGTGTGGCTGCTTATTTGTTACTCTGCAGAGCAGGTGCTGTGAATATTTTGCACATTGTCAGAGTTTAAACTGGAAGTGAGGTGGATAAAGAGAGTTAAAGAGATAACATAATGTTTCAATATTTATAATACAAACATGGTTAAAAAAGCAGACATGCAGTGTTGAAAAGGAGACGTGTATATAAATTAGTGAGAAACCTACTTGCTAGTAGTCACACACCAGCCACAGGAAGGATCCTCAGAAGCTCTGCAGTCTCTCAAAGTGCTGTACAGACCACACTGAGTCACTGCTACCCGCCTGATCTACAACACAGACATATACAACCAATTTAATCTAACAATAATTGTTAAGGTATTAGCTCTAAAACACCTTCCTGAAATTACTGTAGTTTGTTAGCTGACTTTAAATAAACCTGAGTTGTCATTGCCTTAAATTCCTTATTTCAGGGTCCAGAGTTAAAGATCTCTCATGTAAGTTGTCTTTAATGATACTTATGTCATCTTCTGATGATGGGTGTTTGGCTCTAAGACTCACCTGATTTCCCAAAGCTATGTAGATGTATTTATGATCCACTGGATCAAAGTGCATTCTGGGAATCACCATCCTGTCATCAGTAGATTTGTACAGCACCGTCAAACAGCCAGAATTCAAAGCCTTGTCCAGTACAATCTGGAAACACGAGCAGAAGAAAAGAATAAGAAATAGTGATAAGATTTTATTGGCCTCTGGGAACCAGTCAGAATGGAAAAATAAACAGGAATCAATGTTTGCCCAACTAAAACAAACAATAAAGGCCATAGGAACTGTTCAGCATAGGACTTTTGAAGGTTTTTGTTTTTTGAAAAATAAAGTATGTACAGTGGTGTTCGAAAGTTTGTAAACCCTTTTCTATATTTTCTATATTTCTGCTTAAACTTGACCTAGAACTTCATCTGATTTTCACACAAGTCCTAATAGTAGATAAAATGAACCAAAGTAAACAGTGATCCAGAGTCTCCTTCATTTGTACACAATCTGTCTGACTGTGGATCAGTGGAGTCCAAACTCTTTAGAGATGGTTTTGTAATCTTTTCCAGCCTGATGAGCATCAACAACTCTTCTTCTGAGGTCCTCAGAAATCTCTTTTGTTTGTGCCATGATACACTTCCGCAAACATGTGTTGTGAAGATCAGACTGTGATAGATCCCTGTTCTTTAAATAAAACAGGGTCACTCACACCTGATTGCCGTCCCATTGATTGAAAACACCTGACTCTAATTTCACCTTCTAATTATCTGCTAATCCTAAAGGTTCACATACTTTTGCCACTCACAGATATGTGATATTGGGTCATTTTGCTCAATAAATAAAAGACGAAGTCTAATATTTTTGTCTCGATTGTTTAATTTGGTTCTCTTTATCTTCCGTTGTGACGTGAAAATCTGATGAGGTTTTAGGTCAAATGTATGCAGAAATATGAAAAATTCACAAACTTTTATTTAATTTAAAATTTTATTAATAATAACACTTATTATTACTTTCTTGAGTGATTTTGTCTTAGAAGATGGACAGAAAGTCAGACCTTCATCAGTTGTCCATTTGCAGTTCCGATGTAGAGCTCAATCCAGGATCCTCTCTTTTCTGCTGCTACAGATGACATTGAACTGTGTTTGAGCACCACAGCACGAGGACTCAGAACATGATCTCCTTTCTGCAGAGACCAGAAACATGTTGAGGGAAAGAAATGTCAGATCTGATCTACATCATCTGATTTTAGAGGCTGAGTGACATGAAGCATAAAATGCAGAGCATTTCAAATGTTAAAAATCATAGCTTATATTTTATTCACTAGTAGTTTCTCACCTGAGCTGTGCACTGTGGTGTACAGCTGAAATATGAAGGTACTCGGTCTTTGATCTGACTGAGGTCGTAAATGGCCAAAGCAGTGTTCTGGGGGTCGTGCGCTTCTTGCGCAGTGAATATTCCCGCCCAGAGAAGAGGAGATCCAGAGGAGAGAACTGCAGAGGAGGATAAGAGCTTTTTACGGTCTTTATCATCACAGCACTGTAGCACTGCACCTTGTAGAGATCTGGTCATTTCTGTTTTACTGCGACTGTTATTCATCCTTAAGACCACCACAGCTGGAACTGTTCCAGACTTAACGTTCACCAGCAGGTACGAGTGAGAGGGAGGAGATGATTGGAACCCGTCAATCCACTCAGCATCACTCTGTGGAGAAATGCCGGCTTCGTTTGAAGAGGCTACTTTAGAGAAAATTCCTCCATGTTGAGAGTCCAGAGTGTTCCGCAGAGACACTCCACCATCGGAGACACAACGATCAGGAACCTTTTCTCTGGCAACCAACATATAAGTTTCTTTACCTTCATCAAAATCTACAATAAAAGAAACAGATGATTTATTAACAGATGGTCCGACAGACAAATCTTCCCTGTAGAGACTTCTGCTGATGTCGTTGATGTCCAGGAGTTCACAGTATCCACAGTCAGAAGTTCCGCAGGTTATCAGGGTCTTATTCGCGTCGAAAGGCAGTAAAATATTAACTTGGTTCTGATGTGTGTGGTCAGATATGTCTTTGTGTTTTTCCTCTACTAGATCGAGCCTCATCTGGAGGAGCTGAGAGTCGGTGACGACGAACACTTTCCCGTTTCCAACAGCAAAGTTCCTGATCTCTCCTTTAACGCTGAACTCCGTTAAGGAGGAAACAGCGCTTTGGAATAAGAGCAGCATTCCCAGATAAACAGTCCTCATCCTGCAGGTCTGAGTGGAGCTCAAACTCAGACAGAGTCAGTCTGATCTACAAGTGGAGCTGAGAGAAGATCAGGACTAATGTCTGCAGAGCGTCTCTGCTCTAAGTGGATGGAGGTGAGAACTTCCGTGTTCAATGTGTTTGTAGCTCATCCTCACATCATTAGTATCAGACTGAAGTGATACAGCTGCTGAGCTCTTTAGTGCAGAGTTTAAATATTGATAACAAGCTTTTTCAGCTCTGAGTTCTGTTTCTCAAAACTCTACACGGTTCAGTAACACTCTGAGGACCAAACCATGATCTGTTTATTTTATTTTATTTTATTTTATGTTATTTAAATACAGAATGCACTCAGTGAGCACAATTTCCCAAATTATTTAATTCTCTTCTCACTCAGTCTCAGCTTTTTTTCCTGTAGCCCGTCATAAAACTGTTACACTGAAGTCCAGAATCTAACATGAAAATAACCTGCATATTAGTGTGTGAAATCACCAAATAATGATAATGGTTACAGAGAAAAACTGCTGATTAAACTGCTGATGAAATGAAATCAGCCAATCAAGGCTGATTTCTGTCTCAGCTGAGGTCCTAAACAGGTGTTGATCATATAAAAAGGGGTCACCTCTGGAGTTATTGTGCTAATAATGAACCCAGCACTGTGTATAAACAAGAGAGGACAT